CTTTTCATTTTTTTTTTTTTTTTTTTTTTTTGTTTTGGATACCGCCCCGCCCCCCCCCCCCCCGCTTTTTTTTTCTTTTTTCTTTTTAAAGACAGAATCTCCCTCTGTAGTTCAGGCTAGACATCTGTGTAACCCAGGCTGACCTTGAACTTGCAGCAATCCTCCTGCTTCAGCTTTCTGATTGCTAGGATCACAGGCATGTGCCACCATGCCTGGCATTACTTTTAATCTATGTTATGCTTTTGGTATATCTTTTATAAGTAGCGTTTGGATGGACCTTTTTATATTGCCAGTTCATTTGATTTTTATTTCATGTTATCTTTTATTTAGGTGGACTAGCTTATACCATCCTAATTGATGATTTCAATTTGTTAAAGGGCTCTGTGCATGGAAAAAAAAATAGTCGTATCACTTTTTCCATCTTCAAAGAACTTCTCAGATTGCAATTTTACCCTGATTCCCAAAGAAAGGAACATTGGAAGAAGACACTTTGATTAGAAATCTACCAACCTTGGAGTTTTTGAGTAAGCATACTTGAGAAATCTCTGCTAGCAGTTAGTTGCTGTTTTTTCCAGCTCACATGCTCAGTGGAGCCTCTCTGTTGCCCTGGTTTTGTTCTGAAGGTCATCAGTCTGCACCAGTACTGCTGCCAGGCCCTGTTGTAAGGTGGTGGATAAAAAGTGTCCAGGCAGTAAAAATGCATTTTCTCATAGTCCCACTGCATATTTTTTCTCCAAGGCTACAAGTCCCCACATTCCTTTCCTTCTGTCATACATACTCTACATAGCACCTGGAGTTGCTTATACTTTGTTGTCATTTTTGTAGGATTCATAATACCTTTAGGTGTTCATAGATGAATTCTGGGAAAAGTAGATCTATATTTTGTGTTAATTCAGCATTTTATTAGAAACTGAAACTTGCTAATATTTTCATATTTTTAAAATTAAACAGATACATTGTTTTGTAATCACAATATCCACATTTATTTAATCTTAGTTTTAAATATAACAGATTCACTATCACCTATTCTTTACATTATTTGTTCTTATTTTAACCCCACTAGTTTATGGATTTATTCAGCAAAATTTTTATCACCTACTTAGTGCCACACAGTATTTTAGAAACTGAATATAAGTCATAAAACAGAAACAGGAAAAATCCCAGCCTTTTCTGTTTAGGTGACCTGATTTATTTAGCATCAGTATGTGTTGGCTTTTATTCCCAAGAAGGGCACATGGATGCCATATTTCTTGAATTTCTTTATATTTGAAGGTGTTTATTGCCTCTATAATTGAAATATAACTTGTAATTTTTCTAACGTTCTAGGATTTCATTTCTTTGCCTCATTTTATTGTGGAGTTTGGCCCTTCTGACTTTGAATGTTGTCAGATTTCTGATCATATTGACCCCCAGTCCAAAGCGACATACTTTTTCTCTTTGGGGGCCCATGGTATTTTTTCCTTGATTTTGACATTCAGTAATTTAACCATAATAAGCCATTAGTTTGATTATTTGGCATTTTTCAAGAAAAGGGTGTATACTGCAATGGGTATGATCAGACAAACAATTGTCACATACTTCCCACTTGCTCCCCATGGTCTCAAGAGTGGTATGGCATGATGACCTCCTGGTCTCCCCAGTACCTCTAGATTTACTGCCTCTGCCAGACTCTACGCTGCACTGCCAGGAGCTGTTGCTCAGCCAAAAGCCACAACATCCCTCCCCTGCTCCATGTACTACTGCAGTCTCTTAACCTGACAGGGCAAAGATGAGGGAGGAAGTGGGACCTGCTGCTGATTCCCCTGTCTCCAAACATCAGCAGGTCATGATCAACGGAAAGAGAACCAAGAGACAAAAGGAGAAGAGTGGGACAAGAAGAAGGGGAAATGAAAAGAATTGGGATGTGTTATGTGCAAGTACCTAGTCCCTATGATGAGTATCAATGTAATTCATAATGAGGATTAGAATCATAGAAAATACAAAGAATCAAAACAGAAAATAAAATAAACAAAAAAGTTGTTAGGTATGGCTGACAGCTAATGAAGATGTTATAAAGTAATGTATCTGAAAAATTTTTAAAAAGTTAAAAATATTGAAAGAGCAGTGCACTGCTCCTGGCAGTGCAGCGTAGAGTCTGGCAGAGGCAGTAAATCTAGAGGTACTGGGGAGACCAGGAGGTCATCATGCCATACCACTCTTGAGACCATGGGGAGCAAGTGGGAAGTATGTGACAATTGTTTGTCTGATCATACCCATTGCAGCTTTCAGAGTGAAGGGGGAGGGCTTGGGCCTTTTTTTTTTTTCTGTCTCAAAAGGAGTTGAAAGCTAAAATCCACTCAGAACCTGCACAACAATGTTTATAACAGCTTTCTGATTGCCAGAAATTGAAAACACCGAAGTGTCTTTCAGTATGTGAATGAATAAATAAAATGTGGTACATCCGTACAAGGGAGTATGAGGAATTACAGTGCAGTGAAAATACTCTGTATGTACTATCTGTGTATAATACATGTCAGTAAACATTTATTTAAACCTGCAGAATGTACAGCATCGAGTTGAGCTCTGATGTAAACTATGAACTTTGAGTGATAGTGATGTGTCCCTGCTCTTTGGGGGAGATTGGTGAGGGCAGTGCTACATATGAATATACTCGCTCAAAGGATAGGTGGGGGATTCTTGTGGCTTCCTCTAAATTTCCAGTCAATTTAAAACTAGTCCAAAGATATAGTATTTTTAATAAAAAATATTAAGTGCTGAAAATAAAACAGAGCTTTCATTTAGAAAGCTTGGAGTATTAAGTTTGTAATTTGAATTTATAGATTTTTGTTGCCATTGTTGAAGCACAAGTGTATTTTTGTGCAAATTGGTAGTTGAAAAAAAATTTTTTGACCTCACTCTAGTTGGACTCAGTTGGAAGAATGGAAAGGAGATAGGTAGGAACCAAATTCTTCTTCCACTAATCCCTTCTTTCAACTTCTGTGGATAATTTTTTTTTTTTTTGCTCCGAATGCCTTCAAGGCATGACTGGCTGGCTTTGAGTTGTGGGGATCGAACCACAGCAAGCTGAGCCTGACGGCTTTGTTGAAGCAGCCACTTAACTGAGCTAAGGGGCAGGGCCCCTTCTGTGGATAATTTTGAAGATACATGTTTGAATATGAGTTTGGAGAAACACAGCAAGGACTTTTTTATTTTAACTGATAGTGAGCTATTATATTAGAGATAGAATTTTCTTTAATCATGCCTAATGCATATTTCTGAAGTGATATTGTCTTTTAATAATGCCTTGCTAATGTCTCACGTATTTTAAAATTATGTATCTACATTAAGGATGTTCTTGCAAAGCACTTTACATTGTCATTTTTTTCTTGTTCAGTATTAAAAAAAATAAACATTTTTGAGGTCGGGGAGATGGCTCAGTAGAAAAAGTGCTTGCCTGGCAAGTGCAAAGGCCTGAGTTCAATCCCTGGTTCTGCCACAAAAAAAAAGAATAAACATTTTAAAAATTGCTTCTGCTAGGTTGAGAATTTTAATGTAGCAAGTACATCTAGGCACATCTCAAGTAGTAAATGATGTGAGTTGCACTGTTTCAGTAGTATATTTTAATAAGGGAATAGGACAGCCAGGATTCTGAAAGCCAGCATTGCAATCTATAACAGAAATTGAGGGCTGGGGAGATAGTTTGGTGGTCTAAGCACCTGCCTAATTTTAAAAGGTACTAACAAAGTAGGGCTAATACATGCCTATAAAAACTCTTGCTTACAAGTAAGAAGCAAATTATATAATAGGAAAATAATTGAACATCAGTTTAGAGAAAACAAATCCCAAATGACAAGAAAAACGTTGTCGTTATTTCCAATTAGGAAAATACATATTAATGGAATAAGATTTTTATTTTATACTAATCATAGTAGTAAAGATTAAAAAGTAATAACAAATATGAAAATTGTGAAACTGCTTGAGAACCTAGAGCTATTGCTATTCAACTTGGAAACATACCAAGGAGGTGTGATTAAATTAGTAAGGGAGGGCTGGCCAAATAGCTCAGTGGATTAAAGCACCTGCAAGCAGGCATGGGGGAGGAGGTTTCCTGACATGCTGGCCCCGCCCACAGGGCATGCTGAGACAGCAGTTAAAACTGTGGTAGTACACATGTCTGCAATCCCCGCTGGTGGAGGCTGTAAACAGGCAGATCACTATGAGTCCGATCTCAGTAGTGAGACCCTGAAAACCCTGTAGACCCTTCCCTAAAATACTAGTAAGGAAAGAAAGGAATACTGGCAAAGTCTCATTTTTGTAAAACAATCTATTATATGTATATATAAGCATATATGCAATTATATGATCTTGTGTAAAAGTATGGCATAAAATAATTGATAATATAGATTAAGGAATTTGTGTTACATGCAGGGAAGATGAGAGAAGCAAAAGATGTTATATTCTTCATACATTTATATATAATATTTGTGTATATATGTTATAAGACCTTTTTAAAAAGTTTAAATAATAGCTTTACTAGTTACCATTAAGGATGACTTCCACAGAGACTGAGTGTAGCAAAGTTACTAAGTTGGAAAGTTATTGTTTGTGGAAAACACACACATGCACAAATTCATACCATTGTGGCTTAATTGAGTATAAGGGCTTTGATAGAAAATAAAGTCAGATAGAAAAACAGAACAAATAATTTCTTCTTGTGCTGGATGAGTTTGGATATTATTATTTTAAATTTTATGTGTTTGGTACAAGGTCTCAGACTCGTAGTGATCCTCCTGTTTTCAGCCTCCCCAGCATATGGGATTACAGGCATGTGCCTCCATGCCCAGTCTTGGTGGCCAGCTGGTGCACGCCTGATGCAGGACTGGCACAACATACAGTACCAGGGCTCAAACCCTGGTCCTTGTGCTTGCCTAGACAGGAGCTTAGCCTGCTGAGCTTTCTCTGCAGCTCCTGGATATTATTTTTAGCACAAAGAAAATCCCTAAGCTGCCATTAAACCAATTGATCTTTATTTAAAAATTATTTCTGACAGTTACTTGGCAAATGTATTTTATAGTGTTTGAGATGTTAGAAAACCTAGTAAGATCACTGTAAAAGCAATACAGAGAAGAGATGGTACAACTTAATTAGGGTGGTAATAGTAGAGATAGAAGTAGATGTATTTTTATATTTTAGAGGTAAAGCTGACACAGTTTGCTGATGGATGGATGATTAACGAAAGAGAAATCAAAGATAGCTCAACATTTTTGTTTTTGTTGTTTGAATGGACAGTGGTGCCTTTGCTCAAATGGTGAAGGCTATGGACAGAGTAGTAATTTGTTGTTTTTCAATCCATGAAATTGATTGTAATCACCAGGCAAAAACAGAGTATAAAAAGAGAAGGAAGCCTGAGTCAAAAGTTTGTACAGGAATAGACCAGAACACAGGCCTGGCATGTAAGTGAGACGACCTGGGGTCACCAGATCCTGAATAGACCCAGAGTGCTGGCCCAGCGTGTAAGTAAGAGGACCCGGGGCCTGCGGATCCTGAATAGACCCAGAGCGCAGGCCCAGCATGTGAGAGGACCCGGGGCCACTGGATCCTGAATAGACCCAGAGCGCAGGCCCGGCGTGTGAGACCACCTGGGGCCGCCGGATCCTGAATAGACTCAGAGTGCAGGCCAGGCATGTGAGTCAGACCGCCTGGGGACCGCCAGATCCTCATTCGACCCAGAGTGCAGGCCCAGCTTGGAACCCTTCAGCAGAACTCCCTGAAAAGAGGCTAGAGGCAAGACCCACCCAGCTGATTCAGGAGAGGAACATCTTGCCAGAGTGACACAAAGGGATCAACTCCACCTTCTTGCTGCAGCAAGAAGAACTGGAGCACGGCAGCCAGATCCCAGCCAGATCCAAGCAGCGTCCACCTGCAGGAATCTGAACTTCGTAGGTCTCGACCTAGTGCTAAGGTAATAACTCTAAGCTCTACACCAAAGGTCAGAAGACAGTGGTATACAAAATGACAGAGAAGGAACAAAATGCAGTCTCAGGTCCCGAGTCCACCCAGTAAAGATGCAGAAGACACTAGCGTAGAGGAACCTGAAAATCACACACCTGATATCTCTGAAATAATAGCATTGGAAGTGAAGAAACAACTGCACAAAGGTATAGAAGAAATCAGATCAGAAATAATTTCTGATCTAAAAAATGTAGTGATAACTATAATCGAAGTACTAAGTGCTTCAAAATAATACATTGATAAAAAAAATAGAGCAGAATATAAAAATGATAGAACCCCTGAATAAATAATATAGAAAAGAAATAGAATGTATGAAATAGGTTCAAAGTGATACACAAAAAATTAAAACCTCAATCACAAGCTGGCAAAACCATTTCAGCGAAAGTGAAAATAGACTTTCTGACCTTAAAGACACCATTGCAGCTAGTGAAAAAGTAGGAAAAGATCTCTTAAAAACAACTAGGATGCAGGAAAAAATAATTCAGTACCTGCAAGATGATGCAAAGATGAACAACGTAAGACTAATAGGCATCAGTGAGAAGGAAGAAGTCAATACAAATGATATAAAAAGAATATGGGCAGAAGTAATAGCAGAAAATTTCCCAAATATGGGGCAACAGTCTGACATTCAGGTAACTGAAGCATATAGAACTCCAAATAACATCAACCCAATGAAAACCACACCCAGACATATAACAATCAAGATCCCAGAAATTCAACACAGGAACAGTATACTAAAAGCTGCTAAGGAAAAGAAACATCACGTTTAAAGGAAAACCCATCAGAATAACAGCAGATTTCTCTTCACAAACCATCAAGTCAAGAAGAGCATGGAGCAAAGTACTTCAAGTCTTGCACGAAAACAAATTCCAACCCAGACTGATATACCCTGCAAAACTCTCTTCCAAGTATAATGGAGAAGTGAAATACTTCCATGACAAAGAACAACTAAAGAATTTCATGATGACAAAGCCAAGCCTACACAGACTACTAAATGGTGTCCTAGAGAGGGAGCAAATTGATCACAGTCTCATGAATGAGAATAGAAAGAACCTACCAAATAGGGCAAACAATTAAACAGAGGAGAATAAGAGGTATACAATAGTAGTCTTACAGTTATTCTGTGTTCAGCAGCAAAATATTTCCATCAGCATACTCTGCAAATAGACTTCTCTTCTACCCTCTGGGTCATGATTCCCTCTGAATCTACAGGGTGAATTTCAGAGAAATAGCTGTAGCTCAGTCCCACAAGTGACGCCTGGCCACCAGTAACTGTCATGGTCATTATGCATGTCCACAATACACTAGAACTTTGTGCGATATTCTATCCCCAAACTGTTAGAGGTGCTGGTCATTTATTTGCTATTCCAGTATTTATCTTATGTTTTACTCTTTCTTTGCTATCATGAAAACTTTTTCTTAGTTCAATTGTTTTGAAACATTTAATTTTCTGAATATTGCTTAATCTTAATTTTTGTTCTAAGATTTATACTATATCTTTGACTTATAATTTATTTAAAAGACATCGTATGATATCTTCTCCTAGTATTAGAAACTTTAAAAAGTATATTTCCATTTTCTGTTGACTTTATATTACTTCTTCCCTGTTTTTTATACACACATACACACATATATATGAAAATAAATACGTGTATAACCCAACATAAGATTGGTACTGTTTCATAGAAATCTTCTATGACCTTTAAATAAGGGTTCATCTAATATATGTTGGATAGTCCTGCATAGCTATCATATTGAGAGCTCTTTATTGTTCATCTGGGAGCATACTGCGACTTCTCTTGCCTTTTGAATTATGCTGTTATGTCCTATATGCTACTTCTGGAGGTATTAATATATTTCAAGTTAGTATAACTAAAAAAAATAGAAAATAAAAAAACAAAACAAAAGTTTGTACATACTCAAAAGAGAAAGTAGCAGTAGAGGCTGAGAATAGGCAGCCAGTGAAGCATATTGTGTTATAACATCCGAAATAGGCCTGGGAGATGGCTCAGTGGAATAAGCACTTCCCTGGCAAGCGCAAGGGCCAGAGTTCAATCCCTGGTTCCGCAAAAACAAAACATCTGGAATAGACTGGTTGAAAAGCAAGAATGTGGTCAGTTTTGTCAAATGTTGCTGAAGTATAAAGTTAAAAATTGAAGGAACCATTGACTTTTTTTTTTTTTTCGGAACTGGGGATTGAACTCAGGCCCTTGTGCCTGTCAGGGAAGCACTTATTCCACTGAGCCATCTCCCCCGCCCCGACCAATGACTTTGATTAAATCACTTAAAGGCCACTGATCATATAGATAAGAACAGTCTGGGCGCAATATGGGGAATGGAAGTCTGACTAATAGGCTCCAGAAAGAATAGGTGGTAGGAAGTCACAGACCACTGTATACATTTCTTTCGAACATTTTTACTGGGAAATAAGAGCAAATAGAAGGATTGGTTACTAAAAGGGCAATATATAGGGATGAAGGAGACGATAGAGTACTTAATGTGCTTCTGATATTTGATCTAGTACAGTGGAAGAAAACCCTTATGGGAGAGAGAATGAAGCATGCAATAAGGAAGGGGAATAAATACCTCAGTAATGTCAGAGAAGCAAGAGTGGAGAAAGGTATAAATAAACCAGTTAAACTGATTTGGTGATGGAAAGATGCAGTAATTCATTTGTCTTTGTTTTCACAATGATTTATTAGAGGAGAGGAGAGTGCAGTTGTGGGAGAGAATTAGAGAAATAAGTAGATGACTTGGAAAATGGGCTGATGCAAGGAACAGCAAAGTTAGGAATATCAGGCAACATTGAATGTTGAGATTTATAGTTACCAGATACACTGGGTATGTGTTTGTATTCCTAGGAATTTTCAGCTATTTGCAGTAAAATAGATTTATAATTTGACACATGTTTAGGGATACAGTTCTTGCCAGAGCTGTGCCCAGCAAGTATGTTAATGAAAGGAGGATAATGGAGTTATGTGTCTCTGGAAGGGACTTAAATAGTGATGGAGCATCAAAATTAAATAAAGAGGGAAAGATATGAGAGTAGATACAGATCGAGCATCTCTGATCCAGAAATTTAGAATCATAATGGAACTTGACTGCTGACATGATGGCACAAGTGGAAAATTCCACACCTGATCTCATATGATGATTAAAATCAAAAGTGCAAATGCACTAAAAATGTTACATAAAGATACCTTCAGGCTGTGTATATAAGGTGTATATGAAACTTAGATGAATCAGGTGTTTTGACCTCCTAGCTCCAAGATACTCCATTGTATATTTGCAAATATCCAAAATCTGAAAAAGCGCAACTCAGAAGCACTTTTGCCCCAAGCATTTTGGAAAAGGGCTGATCAGCCTGCAGTAACACAGGAAGGTAAATAGATTGGAGGATTTGATAAGATAAAAGAATTTATAGAGTTAGTACAAAACAGAAGGGCTAGGGAGGAGACATTGGATTTCATCAAATTGCAATTTGGAGGATGATAGGCTAATGACAGATTTGAAGGTGTGCCAATAGGAGTGGGTGAAGAAATGTAAATATCACTGGAATTTGTGACATAAAAACTGAGAGGCTAAGGAATTTGTGTGACGTTTTTTTTAAATGCATTGAAGTCACTACAAAACAGAAGGAAAGAAAAGTAAGGTAATTCTATATGAGGAAGATAATATAGATCTGTCATTTCTGTTCACCACAAAGCAGGTAGCTAAGTGGTGTGATTTAATAGCAGAAACTTCAAAATACCTGAAGTGTTTAAGGGGAAGAAGGGAAAAATCATTTGGAAGAGAACAGAAAGTAAAAAGGATTTGCTTCTCTTTCAGGGATCTTCGGTAAAAGAGATGTAATCTTTTAAAGTAAACTGAAAAACATTTTATGCTTTGTATCTGAGGAGACTTGAGATAGCAGGTTTCAATTGGAGTTAAAGAAATAATGTGAGAACAATTTGAGGATATCAGAAAGATCGCTGATCTTAGGCCACGAATTCCAGTATGGGTAGTAGAAAGCTTGGAGGTACAGAGAACCATGAGTTAGTTAGTGGATGTACTTAGTTGTTTGGGAAGTTAAGTCTGGATGGTGCTGGATCACCTGAAGTGGGATGCCAGTTTTTTGGTGGTAACAGTTTTAAGCCAAATGGTAGGAGCCAACTGGCCAACTGCTTTCTTCTGTTTCTTTGCCTTCTGTGGTGCAGTCACGACACTAGTACCTCTTTGAAGGAGGGAGACCTCACCGAAGAGGCTTTGGACATACAAGTTATGTGACTATATTAGTGGCAAAATCTTTGAAATCTGGCTCTGTATTTGTAAGAACACTCCCACCTTTAGGTAGCTATGTTTCAGGTACTACTAATTCTTTTAATAAAAGTATACTTTTTTACCTTTGATTGTCTTAGGTTACTTTTACGAAGAGAAAGTTTGGATTAATGAAGAAAGCCTATGAACTTAGTGTGCTCTGTGACTGTGAAATAGCACTCATCATTTTCAACAGTTCTAACAAGTTGTTTCAATATGCCAGCACTGACATGGACAAAGTTCTCCTCAAGTATACCGAATACAATGAGCCTCATGAAAGCAGAACCAACTCGGATATTGTTGAGGTAACACTTACTTAGCAATGTGTAAATTGTAAATAATAAACCCTCCATTTAGTAATATTAACTATTGTGTATCTAAAACATAAACCAGAGGGTAAATGGGTATTTTCTTTGAATCATTTCTTAGAGAGGTATAATTGCTTTATGATGTGCTATAGATATATCCTGTTGATTCAAAAAAATACACTGGGCTACTTAACTATATAAATATGACATTTGACCAGTATAATCATAACATTTTATTTAGGGTTATTTTGTATGAGTTTTTCAGTTAGTATTGTAAGAAGCTATTTTAAGAAACTATTGCTTTTGGATAGAATGGAGTTACAGTTTATATGCCTTTATCATCACTATGTCAGTGACAACTCGAAACTCAGCTCTAATGGAAGGCAAGAAAATTATATAAATAATATTCTGTTACTAGTGCTTTATCTGGGAGGAAGATGAGGTCCTTGTCCCTTTTTTGTTTTTCACTGCCTCTAGTATCTCTTATGGTCCTAGAAACCTAAGTAAGTGATAAAAAATTAACTTTTTAAAATGATCTCATCTGCTTGTATGTGTTTTGAAATAAAACCTTCTTAAAGAAGATCCAGTGTTTTGCCCCATGAGTCTTTTATTTCGAAGTCATATAAAAATCTTTTTTGGGGCCAAGGAGATAGCTCAGTAGAATAAATGCTTGCCTGGAAAGTGCAAGGGCCTGAGTTCAATTCCCAGTTCTGGGGGGAAAAATCTTTCATTTTCTCTTCCTTCTCCTCTTCCTCTTTCCCTCATTCACTCATTCTTCATTCATTTATTTATTTTTGGTATATTGGAGATTGACGCCATAGCCTGATATGTACTCTACCACTGGGCTACACTTCCAGCCCTTTTAAAAATTTTGAGACAGGGTCTCCTCTACATAAAGTTGCCCTGGCTGACCTTGAATTCGTGATCCTGTTGCTTCAGCCCCCCGAGTAGCTGTGATTATAGGAGTGTGCCGCTTGTGCCTTGCTCATATGCTATACATGGTATTCCTAATAGCATTGAACTTAGCATTTTAGTTACTTTTGTCTTTTTTGTTTACATTAACAGGTTTTCCATTTTCCTTTTTAGGACAGTTTTTCCTTTGAGAGATGTATAATTTACTAGTTTTGAAACATTGAAAAATAATTTATTAAATTAGGCATTTTCTGAGGAAAGATACTGAAACCATGTGAAAATGATCCAAAACTACCTACCAGACAACAAATGGAGTCTTACTCTAGATTTTATATCATCTAGTTGAAATTAAGCTAGAGAAAGAGACTTTACTACCTTCTTGTATAGAAGTCTTAATTTATTTGCCTCCACAAATTATATTAAATGCATTTTAAAATTTTCCTACATTTTTCTGCCTTAGTTATGCCGTTTTGGAGAGTGATTTAGTTTTTTATTATAAAAAACTGTTGCATGTATTAAAAACAAGTTTTATCTCTTCATAGCCATTAATTATTTCAGAGGTGAAAGTGTAGCATAATTACAGGTAGGATTCACCTGCTATTTGATTGGCCCAGCTTTTTTAAGGAATCAGTGTCATGATCCTCCTTTAAATATGTTTGAAGTTTTTGATTTTGCTTTTGTTGATCACTCTGATTAAATTACACAGTTACATCTTTAGCTGTAATCTTTAATACAGTTATTTTTATGTTATTTGTAAATTCTTTTGTTGTTACTTAGTATTTATAACATAATCACTTATTGTAACATGATCTATGTCACTCTTCCATAATTTATCAGTACATTTTATAAAACAACATCATATTATTGAAACTGTCCTACTAATTTGATTTGAAACTGTCTCATTACTATTTGTTTCTCAATAAAATTATGGGGGAAAAATTTCATAAACAAGAGAATAGTTGGAGTAAGCTTTCTAAGAGACTTTATAAATGAATTTTCTTGAAATGGAAAGTATACTTGCTGTTTAAAATGTATTCTGTTCTTTTTTTTTTTTTAATGTATTTAGTACAGGGTGTACAGGGTCTCACTACACAGAGGAGACTTGTAGCGATCCTCCTATTTTCAGCTTCCTGAGCACTGGGATTACAGACGCGCACTACCACACCCAGTCTGTCTTCTGTTATTTAACATCTATGTTGTATCAAAATCTCCATGGCCTTAAGTCAAACAGTCGGCTTTGCTGATCTCAACAAATTGTTATTCTAGCTGGTATCGTTATAAAAGGCAATCACCTCCCTAACTATTCTTTCATTGCAGTAGTTCCTGGCCCTTGGAGGTTGACAGTCCTTTGTACAACTAAAGTTTACTTCGTAGAGAATGTGAACTAAACTATAATCTAATATCTGCACAGAATTTTCAAACTAACTCAGTCATCATCTCTGTTGTGGTCACAGTCAAAAATCATGTGCAAATGATGCAAAACTACTTATCAGACAACAAATGGAGTCTTATTCTAGATTTTATATCATCTAATTGAAGTTAAGCTAGAGAAAGAAACTTTACTATCTTCTCATATGGAAGTCTTAATTTATTTGCCTCCACAAATTGTATTACAGTTCTGAGAATACATTTTGAAATTTTCCTGTATTTTTCTGCCTTAGTTATACCTTTTTGGAGCATGCTTTAGTTTTTTACTATAGTATGGTTTAAAAAGTAAGAAAGTAAATCCCATTTTTAGTGATCTCCTGTATTACAATCTGTTTCTTTCAATATGAAAGAAAACCTTTTCAGTTGGTATTTTTATTTTTTCTACTTGAAGTTTGTAGATATAAGCTAATAGGAATTTTATTAGTAATTCTCTATGACTTTCTAGTTTTATGTAAAAACAATGGATAGAGGGTTCTCTTTATGATAAGTAGCGAATTTGTTGTGGTTGAATGAATTATAAGATGATTCATGTTTCTCGTATATTAAAGTCTTACTAAGTAATTAGTACATAAGAGTGGTTGTTAAACTTGTAAGATAGGTTTCTTTCACACATGAAGGTTATGTTGCTGTATCCGCACTAGTAGCATTATACACACCTGAGTTCTTTTTAACAGTGATAATTGCTTATGCTGATGAATCTGTAAGGATTGTGGTTAATGAAGCTTAAGTTTACAGGATAACAGTAAAGATAAATACTTAAAAGAGCTTTTAGTACTCAGTGTACATTTTAAGTACCTTTAAAAAAATTTTTTAAAGAATACAAGACAGTAAAAAGTTAGAAACGATGCATAATTCTACTAAACAAAATTACAGGAATTCAACAATAGTTGTTACATTGCATAATATTTTCAACTTAATTGTTTAGATTACCGGTTATAAGCATGGAGAATTGGTATAGAAAAGGTTATAAGAAACTAAAAAACAAAATTTTTTTTTGAATTGGACAGGAAGAAGGGAAGATGATGTGTTTATATATACGTGTGTGTGTATATATGTACACACATATATACACAAACACACATACAGGATAGCTTGGATAATTATACCGCCAATTTCTGCTGATTTACTGAAAGGAGCAGTTAATGCTTAAATTTTAAGTACTTTTATAAGTATCATATTTGAGAATATTTTCAGAGTGTCAGTAAAAGGCTTTTTTTCTTCCTCATACAGTTTCTGTTAAAGCAGTTGTAATTGGAAACACCCCTTTTTATATCCATTTACTCATTTAACAAACGCATTTGAGGAGCTTTCTGTGTGTTGTAGGTTTTGAAAGGAAATATTACTTAAAGATTTTTAATTCAAGTTGTAAGGATAGTCTTCCTTCCTATGGTTTTATAAAAGCCGTTGACACACTTACCAAGAGAAGATTTTATATAAATAAAAGTGTAATAGTAATGAGGTTTGGGACTCCTTGGCATCTCATGTGAATTAAGTTGGGAGTAAACTATAACAGACATGGGCCAGAGAGATAGCTCAGTGCCATAAGTGCCTACCTGGCAAGTGCAGGGTCCTGGGATTTGATGCCCGCTATCTCCCCCCACACGCACACAAACCAAACTAGTAACACATTTGTGTACTTTGATCTACTTTAGAGCATGTTCTTATATAACCTAAGCAATAATGACAATGCTGCTAACCTGACTTGTTTTATGTTATGTATGTTTTGAAAATAGGATTTTTTTCTCCCATATTGCCAAAATGTCTCTTTAGAAACTTGATTATATGAAATGGAATGTATTAAATGGAGAGAAGTTCAGGTTGGGCATTCTTGATCTGAAAATACTCTGAAATCTGAAACTTTGAGTGCTAACGTGATGTAAAAATTAATACATTTGGAAAGACGGTACTTTAATCCCAACACTTAGGAAGCTGAAAACAGGAGAATCACTATAAGTCTGATCTGTATAGTGAGACTCTGTAGACCCTGTACTAAATACATTTTTTTTTTTTTTTTTTTTTGGTGGAACTGGGGATTGAACTCAGATCCTTGCGCTTGCCAGGGAAGTGTAGTGAGCCGTCTCCCCGGCCCTTCTAGATACATTTAAAAAAAAAAAAAAAATTGTAATTTGTTAAATCTTTAGAAAGCAATTCAAAGTAGCATACCAGTGTTGGCATTAGTTGCCATGAGGGAGCACATTGTAAATGGGCTACATTTCAGTTCAGTTCTACATGGTTGTATAAGAGTTGTTTTGAATATAATTTCTCCTCACGAGGGAGGTGTGTATAGGTGATGGGATGTAGAATCTGGTTCCTCAAATGAACAAAATAGTTAAATAATTTTTGTCCCCTGAAATCATCTGGTCTTGACCTGATAGAACTGGAGGTTAGGATTTTGCTAGGTTTGCTGATATTTTTAAAATACCCACAGAGAGGCTTTTCAGGCAAATTAATTCCTTCCCCTAATATTATGGATGAGAAATGCGACAGGGAATTTTAAGAGGCTTGCCTAGTGTATTGCAGGGCTACAGTGGAGCAGTGGGAAAGAGAAAAGTAATGAGGCAGCTGCAGACAAGACAGAGCTTCCTTCCACATCCAGCCCCCACCTTACTCTTTTATTCCTGGCAGAACCTGAAGCAGCAGGATGGTGATTCAGAGGG